GATTATTTGATATAGATTTTTTGAAAATAAATTTGTTAAAAATATTTTTTTGGATAATGTGTGATTAAAAAATAGAAAAAAAATTATGGATCCATGTGCAAATTTATTTTGTGAGAACATGTGATTGAAAATAAATTTTAAAAAAAATAAAAAAATGTACCAAACATGGGCTTAACAATGATTGCTTAATAGTGATTTGAATTATCTTTGTAATTGAAGAGTAAATGTGTGATCATAACCCCTGTTTGGTTTAGATAAAAATTAAATTTTTAGTAAATTTTGAAAACAATTTGAAATGTGTGGTTAAAAATGAATTTGAGGCCAAATAGGGACATAATAAAATATTTGGTAATTAAAATGTTATTTTTAAAGGCCAGTATCAACTTACTGTAATAATGTTGAGGACTAAAGTGTAATTTCACGCCTGTTTGTTCCATATCTTTTGCCCATTTTTAGAGATTATTTGTCCGTTGCAGAGAGCAGTCCAATTTCAATTGATTGAACGTACAGACAATAAAGAACGTCTACATGTGAGTTTTAAAAAATTTACTTTTTTTGCTTTTTCCTTTCTACCCCATGCCATCAATCAATCACTCATTATTCTCTTCAATTCGGTAGGTGGTGGGAGTGTACAAGTGGTAAATGAAAGGATTATCATTGTGCAAGCACATGTCTTTTTATGTGTCAGAGGGGAGTCAATTCAAAGGCCCATTTGCATTTGCTGTGCCCGGGAAATGGCTACCGAGCATTGCTCAGTTATTCTTCAAATAATAAACAGAGGGAAATGAACGTAGCATACGATAGCATTCCACTCATCAGTCATCTCTCTCTCTTCAATCTTTAATTTGTTTTTGAAAAATTAGTTTTTCATTTTTTTAGACCATAAAAAGAATAAAGTTTGATTACGATTTCAGCTTCCTCTACCATACTATCAGTGAGTGTAAGTATCATAATTGTATTTTCTTTTGTAGTTGATTATTTCTTGTGCTTTTTAATTCGTGTGCTGTTCTGTGTTTTTCTCCATTAAATGGAAATTTAAATCATGTGATTTTATTCTTTTTTGTTGCCGTTAAAAATTAAAACATGTCTTGGAATTGGATTTTTCATGTTTCCTTTGCCTGAATTGATAGGACAGTTTTGGAAATTCAGTGAGTCAGTATGTGTTTGTGAGTGCGTTAGAAGGTGAATTGAGTTGTGAACAGGTTAAAATTTTCGAATTATATATGCTGATTAGTATTATTCTTTGGACTGCTATATTTTCAGATGATCAGGGATGCTTCTATATTTGTCATATATTGTTCTCTAATTGTCTATTTCATCACAAGTAATTGCAGATTTTCTACTCGCTGTTGAATATTTAAAATCTACTACTATTTTGCAACTTTCAATGACTAAGAATGAGATATTCCTTGTTTTGTAACTCAGTTTTCTGAAAATATATCTTAATTTTAATGCATCGTAAGTGAAATCTATGTTCTTTTCATTTGTCGCGGCATCATTCGGGAAGATCATAGCTATTGAATATACTTTCAGCTGGGTTTAATTTTTCCACGGTGGTACTAGTAATTGTCTAATTTTGCAAATATTGATGTAAAATAATATTCTTGCTAATATTGCTTTCTTTTTTTTATTCATTCTCACGATGCAAACACAGTTTAATTCTCCAAAACTGCATTTTCTTTTCTATTTTTCTCAGTGGCTTTCCATATTTTCTATGACATGGTGTAGCAATATTCCTTAATGGTTATGTTGTGGAAACTAGGAAAATGGCTGGACAAGTGGTTGCCAATCAATCAATGTCTATTTCTGACTTTGAACTTGTTGAGAGAGATTCTGGTGACAGTGGTGGTAGTGCAGTAGTGTCTTCTAACCATATCCACCCTTGGATCGACCCAGCAACAATTGAACTCAAGCACAGAATTGGAAGAGGGCCTTTTGGTGATGTTTGGCTGGCAACATATCACCGTGCAACGGAAGACTATGAAGAGTATCATGAAGTGGCTGTTAAAATGTTGCATTCCATTAAAGAAGATAACGTTAAAGATGTCTTGGTAAAGTTGGAGGATTTACATTCTAAATGTCGGGGTTTAGAAAACGTTTTCTGGCTGCATGGTCTTTCCGTCATAAGTGAGAAGGTGAGTATGTTGTTCGAACTATTTTTACAATGCTGAGAATCTGGATGTCTTTCCATATATGCATTTAAAAAGAGAGAAAATAAACAAATTCTGAATGCTCTATATTTCCTTCTAGATATGCATTGTTATGAAATTTTATGAGGGCTCAGTTGGGGACAAAATGGCTTGCCTCAAAGGGGGAAAGCTCTCATTGAATGATGTTTTGAGGTGATTTTTGCTTAATGTATCTGAGAAACACATCAATAAGTACTTTTCTCTAGTTAAAAGTTTTTATTAAATAAAACGCTCGCAATTTTCATGCTGTTGTTGTGTTCACAGGTATGGCGCGGATCTGGCTGAAGGAGTAATGGACTTACACTCCAAAGAGATCCTTATTCTCAATCTTAAGCCTTTTAATTTCCTTTTGAATGAACATGACAGGGCGATTCTTGGAGACATAGGAATTCCGAACGTGTTTCTTGGTATTTCTCTGCCAAGTACAGATGTGATTCAGAGACTTGGTACTCCTAACTACATGGCTCCAGAACAATGGCAACCCGATATTATTGGTCCTCTATCCTTTGAAACCGATTCATGGGGGTTTGGTTGCAGCATAGTCGAGATGTTGACTGGCATTCAGCCTTGGAGTGGTAAATCAATTGATGAGATACACAAACTGGTAGTAAAGAAGCAAGAAAAACCACATATACCCAGTGGGCTCCCTCCTGCTGTTGAGAATGTCATTATTGGTTGTTTTGAGTACGACTTCATGAGTCGCCCTAGGATGGCGGACATATTACACGCGTTTAAAAGGTATATCCTTTTCCTTTTTTCCTTGTTCATAATTAAGTTTCCTAAAGAACAAAAATGAGCTGTTGTAGAGAAAATTGACCATTGAATCTACCGCGTTTTGGTTCTGCACTATTTTTCATATGCGTGCTGTTTCTAAACATTTTGTCACTGCATCCTTCAGGCTTCAAGTGGCTTGTGCATGTATTCTTAAGCCAACTAAAATTTTACCAATTTGCAGTTCGCAAAATGCTGTTAACCAAGATGGAAGCTGGACAGGTCTTGGAAGTAGAACTATAATAGAAAAACTTGGTGGTAGTAATTATACCGAGTGGTTCCTTGCGAAGGATCATCTGCAAGTGGGTGACATGGTACGATCTAGAAAGTCGCCAAATTCATGCAAACTGGAAAACGTGGATGTTCTGGAGGGAAGTGTAGTTGGTTTAGAATGTGATACGGAACGAGATGGACTTGTTTTGGTGAGAATGCATGGACTTAATGATCCAATAAGAGTTCACGCTTCTACATTAGAACGTGTCACGTTTGGAATGGCTGCAGGAGATTGGGTGCTCTTGAAGAAAGAAGACAAGAAGCATTCGCCTGTGGGTATTCTTCACTCCATTGACCGAGATGGCAATATAGCCGTTGGATTTGTAGGACTAGAGACTCTTTGGAAAGGCAATTACTCAGAGATCCAGATAGCAAAACCTTACCGTGTAGGGAAGTTCGTAAGGCTGAGATCAAATGTTTTCAGCCCTCGTTTTGATTGGCCGTGGAAAAGAAGTGGCGAGTGGGCAGCAGGAAGAATTTGTCAGATACTTCCAAATGGCTGCCTTGTGGTTGAGTTCCCGGGTAGATTGATACTTGGTGATGAAAACAAAAGCTTCTTGGCTGATCCAGCTGAAGTTGAACTTGTGTCATTCGACACTTGTCCAGGCTTGGTGAAGAAGTATCAACATCTTGAGGACTTTCACTGGGCGGTCAAGCCATTACTGATAGCACTGGGTCTGTTTACTGCCATGAAGCTAGGGCTTCGTGTTGGGAAGAAATTGGGGAGATTGAAGCTAAAGAAGGGACGTAATCACAACATTCTCAAAGCCAGTTAAAATTTCAGCAAAATCACTGCGTAACGCAAAAATGAGTCTTGAAATTACAGCAATCAAATTGCCCCATTTTTTCACAATTACGAATGCTCCATGAAATGTTTTCATCGAAATGAAAGAACCCCATATCTTGTTCTGGTAGAATCATAGATGCACAACAAGGAAAGGAAAAAATCATCTGTTTCAGATCTCTCATGTCCACAACACTATCGAGTATGAAGTATATGAGATACAAACAAGAAGTCTACATTAACATAAAAGTACAATATGATGAACAAATATACCCAACCTACGGCAATTAACTGGTTAGGTACAAGATATATGCACTATTATCTAGTCAACAAATTAAACATAACCTCTATTAGCTCGTGCTACCAACAATGCTGGCCTCATCAACAAACTGCTCAGTCAAAGCCAAAAGTCGAGCAACTTCTGTTTTAACTTCACCAGAACAAACACTGCCGTCAATCATATTCATCTTAGTGTCAAAACCATTGCGCTCGAAATACATGGTATCATAATCAACATCGATGCTCAAACTAGATTTATTTAGAAGCTCTCGACTCATTTCTGTGAGTTTATGAAGCGCACTAGTTGCAGCTTCGACCTCTAGTTGTGCTGCTTCCAACTGGAGTTCCTCAATTGCTAGGTCACCAACAGTCTTCTCACCTATTTTTTCTTGTGCCAAAGCATAAAGCTGTTTTAGTTCATCACGATCTCTGATCATTTCTTCCTTCAGTTTTGTTAGTTCCTGCTCTCTGGCGTCCAATTTGCCAAGAACCATCTTTAGCTCCTCGTCTTTGACGGTGAGATCCCTTTGTGCTGCAAGAACTTCCATTTCCTTCATTCTCAAACTTTCTCGGGTAAACTTGAGTTCAGTTTCAAGCTGTTTCTTCTGCCACTTAAAACTATCAGCTGATTTCTCTGGTGATAACTGGTGATAGGTATAATCAAGTCCGCTCAAAGCATCAAAATTTTCATCCTTAGCTGACAGAACTACTTTGTTAGTTACCTCTACAATCTGTTCCAACACTGATTCAGCTTCAGAGAATTTCTGTTTTGTATCATTCAGTTCATGTTGCATTGCCTGAACATGTTCATCCTTTTCCTCCAGCATGGACGTTGCTTGAATAAGCTGATTTTCTTTACTTTTCATAATCTCCCTTAGCTCATCTATCTCCTGGTTTACGTCCTCCAGCATCTTTCTTGCACTTGAGAGTTCCAGATCTTTTTCTTCCAAGATAAGCTGAAGGGAAGTCAGCTCAGACTTCAAATGCTGGATCTCTAGCCTAGCTTCCACCAATTCCGACTCCTTGACCTGAAGAAGACTCTGTTTCTCTCCATATTCATCATTCTTACGGTCTAGCTCCTCCTGTAGAGCTGACATTTCCTGAATTGCTTGTTGCAAGGAAAATCTCTCCATATCTAATTTCTTTTGTAACTCTCCAACAAGCTCTTTCTCCAAGTATAAATCCCTTTCAAGCTCCTTGTTTCGAACTTCAGCAATCCTATGTTTTACTCTCTCACTCTCCACTTCGATTTTTGCATCTTTCAGACTCGTCATATAGGACATAACACTCCTCCTGTGCTCTTCAATTTCAAGAATCTTCTCATCCAGTAGCTGTTCCCGATCTGCCATTTCCTGTCTAGAGGAGGCCAAAGCTTTCTGAGACGAAACTAGTTCAAACCTCACATCAGCAAGAAGCTTCTTCACTTTTCCAAACTCCTCCATAGTTTCATTTGCTTCCCCAAAATGTTTAGATGTTTCCTCTGCCAGCTTTTTCAATTCTTCCTGCACCATGAGCCAATCCATTGCTTGCTTCTCCAAATTGGCCTCAGCAATTTTCAATTTCTCTGCTTTAGTTTTCTGCATACCCATGGAAACTTCCAGCTCTTCTTCTCTCTTTTGAATCGCTCTCTGAAGTTCTTGGAGTTCAGCTTCTTGTTTTTTCACAATTTCATTTGCTTCATCCAGGAGCTGGGCCTTGGATCTGAGTTCTGATTCAGCATCAGCAGCTTCCTCGCTCTTCTTCGTCAATTCATTTTGCATTTTTATAATTTCCTCTTCTTTCGTAGATAGGGCAGATTGAACAGCTGAAATTTCTTGATCCCTCTCCTTGAGATGAAGCTTAAGATCACCAATTTCCATAGCTTGTGAAGCTAAGCTTATATTAGCTTGCTTTAACTCATCTTCTATCCTTTCCTGCTTCAATCTAGCAGCTTCTATTTCTTCCTTCCGCCACTCTAAGTCCTCTTTTGCACGATTTATTTCATTGTACTCCAACATTACCTTCCTTTCTGCATCTTGTAAATCTTCTTCTTTCTTCTTCAAGGCCAGCAGTACAACCTGAAGATCCGATTCCAGCTTACCGAGATTCAAACCTAGTTCAGAAACTGAGTGAGGATCTCTGCCTATCTCTTCCTCAAGTTTCTGTGTGTGTGTGAACAACATCTCCAGAAGAATCCTAGCAGGTTCAGTTGCCCCATTGTCGTTAATACTTGAAGACCTCGTGTAATTCAAGACTGATTTGAAAATCCACAAGCATCGACTTCGACCCTTTCTTTTGTGCTCTTTCAAAAATGCTAATCTCTTCTCGTTTAATTTTAGCCCAGAATAGCACATCTGCAAACAAAATTGACAATCAGCCCATTATACGACTCTTTATTTATCTTTTTCATGGTGTACGCCATTGAGTCTATAATCTTTCTATAGTTTTGTCCTCGTACAAATTAGATTTGATAAGCAACTTTAAACAGCTCACTAAGCATCAATGTGGATAATATTTTCCAGTAAATCGTGCACAGACAAAATAGAGAAAATTGAACCAGAAAACACACAAAGCTCCATTTAGGACTTCTGACAGTTTGCAACATCATTAAGCAAAATATATACATGTCAAACTCAATACAGATATGTTTATGTCTTTACTAGAGTTGCCTACATTTACTCCTGATAGAGGTGGGCACATAAAAATATAAGAACTATATATGAATACAGAAACATGAATTCCATTCCCTGATAGCTTACTAACATGTAGTTAGGACTTTGTTGTGATTCCAGGCCTATCTAGTTTGGAATGAAGTAAGCGATGTATATAAACCAACCCATCCAGAATCACCTTTGTAGGCCGGACACCTATCGTGCACCAATGATGGAGGCCAGCTATTCGAGAACTCTATAAATTATCCAATACTTAAGAATAATAATAAAAAGCTGTCATCTGAATTTAATCTTCAGCTGGTTTTTCCTTGATCCTTTACTATTTCGGAGGTAAAGGAGCTGACCTTATTTATATAATTAAAAAGGAAATGGCTTTTTCAGAATTCAACTTACTACTCGCTTTCTCGACAAACATGTGGAAAATAATTCAATTAATACCTAAACAATTATGACTCTTTACCAAAGTTAATATTTTTATACAGATACTAGAAAAATTGCATCTTTCGGTTTATTTATTCACTCTTATTTATTTATTTATTTATTTTTTTTTTATTTTTTTTTAGGTCCCCCCCCCCCCCCCCCCCCCCCCCCACACACAAAAAAAAAAAAAAAAAAAAAAAAACAAAAAAAAAAAAAAAAAAAAAAAAAAAAGAGGACGAAATATTAAACATCAATACAACCAAAAATCCAGTTATTAATCTAAGAAATCATGAAATTAGAAACACGCCAAAAACATTTACTGTTACCATAGACCACAAATTGAGGCCGCGAAAATTATGAACAAAAATACAAAAATATTCGTGCGAAATACACAAGCACAGGTATACTCAGAGAGATAAGAACCTGCGAAAGTTGATTGGGTGCGAAAGAGGCAGAGATCGCCATGCTTCATTTCCTCAGCATATCTTATCTCAATTGGATTTTCACAGACATTTATGATGAAGATAACGTAAAAAATATACGTACGTGCCCGTATACAATAAATGGAGAGACTTGAAGGTGCGGAAAGGGATTGCGATGGAGGGAAACAAAGTACAGTAAAGAGAGAGAGAGAGGCGTACTGAAATGAGGCTAATGAACTACAGTATATCCACTACAGTATTCTCCAATTTCATATAATGTCGTGTTTCATTGGGCCATGTGCGACTATTATATATATGTGGGTCTCCAATTTTTATCTTCTTTTACACTTTTATGTTCAGGCTTTGTTTCTTGACATTCCTATCTTTATCTTATATAAATTAGTGATCATCGCTGGTTCAAAATAAAATTAGTGATAATCACGAAAAGTTAAAAATAGTAATATCAAGAAATAATAATTGGAATCTGAATATAAAATTGCAAAAAGATATAAAGATCGAATATCACAATCGCAATTAAATCTCACAATTTTTGGTACTATCTTTGACCATAAGTGACACTCTAATTGTTGCATAAAAAGTGTATTGGCACAATGATCTTCAACGCAAAATTTATTGTAACGAAGTTCATGAAAGTAGCACACAAATAAATTCTTAAAAGAAATTTATCTTCCGATCTATATTCTTGCACATTATAGTGTAAAACTTTTGTCTTCATTGTCCTTTAGTGATGAAAAGTATTTTCAATGTATTTCGAGAATGTAAGAGAGTTAAAATAATAAATTCTTTCTATTAAACTAGACTTCATTTTTTACCGAACTTTAGAAAACAAGGATGTTAGTCAACAAGACGAACATTAAACTCGACAAAAGACCCTTCAAGAAGAGTGCCAAGAATGAAACTTGGCATCTAGAAAAACTATTGTTGCACAATTTTTTACCATTCTTTTAATGAAAAGACTATCAAATTAGTAAATTCACGTCAATAACGTTTTATTAAACAAAATACAAAGAGAAAAGTTATTTAGTATCGATAATGTTAGAACATCAGTCTATATGACACGTGTGATAGGTTCAATTAAAAATAAAATTAGGTGATCTATTTAATCGAACCTTTTTTTAATGATACTTAGTTTATGTTTGGCCCTCATTTTTTTTGAAAAATTATTATTTTTAAATTCATTTTTAATTAAAAAAATTTCATAAAATAAATTTAAATTAAAATTAAAATTTTTTTTTTCACTTTCTTAACTACATATTTTTTTAATAAAATATTATTTCAAGATATATTTTAGTCCAAACGCGAGGCTGGAACTTAATATCCCTAAAACTGATGGTGTAATACTAGAGAGCATCACGAGGCAGTTTGGAGGAATTGCAAGAAACTGCA